TCATAGAGGAACAACAAGCAAACAAAGAAGACGAACATGGCGCAGTGATCCGGTAAATTCAGTTCTGACGCCTGTTATTGCTGCCCGCCCCAGGCCCCCTCGACCTCATGGCGTGTCGCCGGCCCCGCGCCTCGTCCACCCTCGTGCTAGGTCAGCAATCAACCCACCCGGCAGTGAACTTCATTAATGCAGTGGTGTAGTGCTATAGTGTAGTGATGTGTATTGTGCAGTGCCTATAGTGTTCGTGCAGTGTTTAGTGTGCTCAGGGGACATTTTCGTAGCATAAGGGAGCCAAACCGAAGCATTTTGGGGTACGAGCGAGGTATATCCTGCGCTCTATACGACGCTTCGTGAGTGACTGATTCCCTCGCGCTTGTGGCTCGCCTGCGCGCACACGATTTTGCGGCATTATCTTGACACCCTTACCACACTACAATGGGTAAAGGGAAGAAAGAAGATACGAGCAAGAACGACCCTGAGAAGCCAGACTCCACTCTTGACGAGTCTGCAGGGGCCAGTGCCAGCACCCCACCTCCCACAGATGTTGCCACATTGCTGCAGTGGATAATTCAGAGGGATGACAAGAGGGAAGAAGCCCGCCGGAAGGAGGAAGAAGCCCGTCGGAAGGAAGAGGACGCACGCAGGAACGAGGAGTCTGCTCGTTTTCAGGAGCTGATGCTTCGCCTCACCTCCCAGCAGCCCGCAGCTTCACCTGCGAGCTCGCCAGTGAGCAGTTCTGCCGCGCCCACTGCTTCTCCCACTCCACCGACCCCGAGGGCTACAATACAGCCTCCGAAAGCATTAACGGCAGACGCGAGTCCCCGACAATTTCGCGAATGGAAGCGCGAATGGTCCGATTATGCTGTCATGGTGGATCTTGTCAGTCTGCCATTATCAAAGCAGCATATACAGCTACGCATGTGCCTTACATCTGAGATGCGACGGGTGCTGGAGCACAAGTTGGACGTGCCCGCAGACCCAGCATGCTCAGTGGACGATGTCTTGGCAAAGCTCGAAATGCACATAAAAAATGCAAGTAATGAGGCGCTACGACGGAGGGCCTTCTCCGAGTGCAAGCAAGCAGACGGCGAGAGCTTCGATGACTTTTGGATACGCCTGAAAATCTTGTCACAGGAGATAGACCTTTGCAAGGGGCAGAACCAAGCATGCTGTGAGCAGTGGAAGAAACACGGCATACTAATGGGTATACGAGATGAGGAACTTACCCAGAAGCTCATTGAAATGGACCGCTCAGCGACGTTGCAGGATGTTTTGGAGAAATGCAGGTCTCATGAATCGTCATAGACTGCATCATCTGCTTTGAAGAACACAGTTTCTTCACGTGCTGTTTCTCAATATAAAAGAGAGAAAAAGGCCGCCCTGAAGCAGAAGTCCAAGATGAGGCCTGGCTCACTTCTGCCTAATAAGGCCTGCAACTGCTGTGGTCGTCAACACGAAAAAGGTTTGTGCAGGGCCACCACTTCCACATGCCGTGCTTGTGTCAAGAAAGGCCATTGGGCTGCTGCTTCCAAGTGTCCTGCCAGGAATGCCAGATGCAGGGTGTGCAACAGGCAGGGACACTATGACAAATGCTGCCCAAAGACAAGGAAGGCCAAGAAGACAAAAGAAGAGGACTCCAATCAGGACTTAAAGGTAGTAAGTTCAGTATCCCCTTCAGTGTCATATGCCAGGAGTGTCACTTCAACTGCACGACCGAAGCCTCAGTCTTCCCCTAAAGTCCGCATGAAAGAAAAGATTTCACCCTACATTTATACCGCAATGTGGCGTGCAGGTAAGGAGTTGTGCATCCCTGATGCCCTCTCCCGGTCACCTGTGAGTCGCCCAACAGTGGAAGACGGTGCCTTCAATTCTGAAATGGACACCTCTGTCAAGATTGTAGCTCTGCAGGCTGTTCAGTCTACTGAAGCATCAGAAGCCATAGACGAGCAAGAGAATCTCTTCTTGGAAGAAATGTGTACAGCTGCCTCTAAGGATGCTTCTTATGAGGAGCTGCTTCACCATGTAAAGTCAGGGTTCCCCAAGTGAGTTGTGATAATAATGTGAGTTGTGAGTGCCATGGTGTGATGCCGATGCATATGGATTGTAATGCCAGTATTATCGTACACATATTGTGATAATTATGTTATTATATTATCCCATTGGTGCCGGGTATGACGTGTACGTACGTGCTATGCCCACCGTGAGTACTTGTTTGACTGTTTTTACGAATAGATGGCAACACTTATACTAAATCACTAATGAGCTAACTACGAGTACCGCCTGTCTCGCCCGTTTACCCGTTTCTTTGATTTACAAAATATTTTACGTAATCTTATTTTGCTGTTACTAATGTTAAAAAACATTATAAAAATTATAATGTTTATGATAAAAATAACACCATCGATTTTCATAGCACTAGTGAAAAATACGTTTTTCCCGCCATTTCAAATCAGGTGCTAGCAGAGCCATCTATCGGCAGACATTTCACGAAAAACATAGAAAGTGGGCACAGCATTTTCTCCATTTTTTGTTCATTTTCCCCAGCACCATTGGGTTAAATACACTACCTTTTGTGTGGTATGTTACACCAAATGAAATATAGAAGTTTATGTTTAGTTTATATTACTGTGTAGCATATCACTTATGTGAAAGAATGATATTCTCTGTTCGATTTATAGAGTACAACATTTTATTTTGTCTCTGTAGTCACACGTCTGGCAGTAAGTACACAGAGAGACGGAGCCTGGCGTGTGAGGCAGAGGAACATGAAGAGTTCCGTGTTATTTTTGTCAGATCTGATTTCCAATGAACCTACTTTAGTTGTTATCGGTGTTTTCTTCGCCCTCAAGTATCATAGAGGAACACCAAGCAAACTAAGAAGACGAACAATGTCAGTTCTATTTGTTTTGAGAAATTTATGAGTATTGTTTTGGTCATGTATAGCTCTTTCGATGTCCTCTATTTATTACGTTCGAGAGAATGTCTACTTGTCTCTTAACGTCATCTATTGTAAGAACCTCTGAGACCCACCCAAGATGAAAAAAATATATTTTCATTGACATTTCTCTAAGAACATCTTTGAGGTAGTCAGATGATTCAGCTGTAGCATGAGGGTGTCTATAAATTGCACCAATAATGAAGGAGGGGTACTGCTTTCTAGTTACCCAGATGTCCTCTACAGCTGTATTATTTGCAGCTGCAGTGGAGACTTCATTTGATTTAAGTATATGCATACTCCACCTCGCCCTGCATATTGAAATTTTGAATGTTGATGAAATTACTTAACATTTCTTCATGAAGCCGTTTCACTAATGCAAAGGATGTCGATATTTCTCTCCGTGATCATCACTTCAATTTCTTCAAAGTGACCAAGGAAAGATTGCGCATTGATATGCTCTATTTTGATTGTATTGCGTGATATGACTTTTGGTCTTGCGGACTGTGTGGCGGCGTCAAACAAGCTGGTCGTTCTTGTACTTATTTTTGTTAAAAAATACTTTGCATTTTTATGGAAGACCTCTGAATTTGTGAAGAGTTCTGGGTGTATATCTTTGCCTCTGATTGTTACTGTGAAACTAGAGTACAATTGATTTGTCATGTTTGTCTTATATATTTTTGCATTTGATATATTTTCAGACTCTTGAGCAAGAAAGTCTTCTATGTCTTCTTCCTCTGTTTCAGGGTGCCAACTTGTGATGTATAAGTACACTACCTGGGGACGTTCTACTCCTTGTAGTGATTTGGATGTTTGGCACTCCTCGCGTGCTTTTCTTCTCCCTTTTCTGGAGGTGACGGTGATGAAACCCTCCTTGTCTTGCTCGCTTGTTTGTTGCGTTTCCGCAACAACGACCGTGTACACTTGTGGTGGTGAGGGGATAGTAGAGGGGGCAGGGACTCCAGGCACTTGGTGATGTGTTGCGTCAGCTCACTGGCGGTTGGGTGGAAGATTTTTTTCTTTCTTTTTGTTCTTCCTCTTGCTCTCCTTGATATGGCTTCTCCTCGGTGTTATTTGCGTCGACGCCTCGCTTCTCATCCCAGGAACTGATGCCTCAGCATTGTTGAGAAGGCGCTTGCGTGGTGCCGGGGGAAGCTGGCTAGGGAGGGGAGGGGTATCGCGATGGGAAGGTGGGGGTGGGGTGCTCGCAGGGGTGGTGGGCGTAGAGGTTGTTATGGGGGAAAGGTTGTGTGAGTGTTTATGATTTTGCAGGATGGAGGTATAAGACGTTTTCGCTGGGGGAGGGGATGCGAAAGGGTATGAAATGGTAGGATGACTGGTCGTGGGCAGGGGAGGGGAGGGAGGACGGAGTGAATTTACTGCGAGTGATGCTGCCTCTCCTCATTCCTGCCTCTATGTAGGAATCACGTCTTGGCTAAGCAATTTGTTGATGGTTGACTGCTGGTCACGGAACATTCCAATCAGCATTTCTATCTTATTTTCGATATCTTGATTGATCACATCCGGTTCGTTGTGTGTCTCGGCGCCTTGATGACTGGTTTGTGGAAAACACTCACAAAGGGTGTCGAGTTTTTTTGGCGGTGACCAATCTGTAGTTGGAATGTTTGTTGTTGCCATTGCGAACACTAATTTGTTATTGTTCAAACACTGATCACGATGGCCACTGTCATCCTTTTAATGCCACGTGTCATGCTCCTTGGTTTCCTAGAGTCCGATTAGTTTAAAATGATGTTGTGAGCCTGATTAATTTCTTCGGGGCTTAGCCCATGCTCTCTTTGTAGCTATAAAGCAAAGGATGGTGTTCAGCACTATTGTTATGTTGCCTATTTGATGCACTGCTTTTTTGTTGTAATCACTGTTGTCAATGCCGTCACTATTGTCATTGGATGCACTGTTTTCATTGCTATGTTTGGAAGGGATGTCAGAGTTGTTAAATAGCCCTGTTCCCTGGGCGGAGGGACAGCCTTGACCAAGGCTGTCGAGGGGGTGCCCATCATCATAGGCGGGTGGCAGCTTTGACCCGCGCTGGCGTGGGCCCGTTGCCATGGGTGGAGGCCCTGTTACCCTGGAGAGGAGTCAAAGGTTCCCGTTCGCTCTGGGGAAAAGAGCTCGTGCTAGTTGCCTGAGGAAGCACCGGGAAAACCCCCTGGTTGGCCCCCTTCGACCCGGGGAGGGTAGTCGGTTGCTGTTTGGCTGCGGCGGAGAGGAGGCAAAAACACGTCCGATCGCTACGGCGGCTAGACTCAGAGACTCATAGATTAGACAGTCAGAGACAAAGGAAACCATTATGATGAAATAAATGAGAGACAAAAATAGAAACAAAATCGGACCATAACCCAGAAAAAGATCGAACTAAAAACAGCGACGAGGTATGTCTAAAATAAATAAATAGATAAATAAACAAATAGAATACTATTAACAGCTTTTCCTAACACCTGCAGCGAGGACGTGTGCCAGGTGCTCCTGGGGGCGCTGAAGGTGGAGGACTCCGACCCCACCACGACGGACATGACACTCGCCGCCCTACAGAAGCTCTCCATCAGGTAAGAGAGGAGGGGGGGGGTGTCGGCTGGTTTGGAAGGTTGAAGTGGAAATTATGGAAATTTGATGATAGTATTTTTTCTACTCTTGCTTTATTTCATTTTTTGTTTAGTTTTGTTGACTTTTGAGGCTGTTTATGGTGTGTTTTTGTTGCCTTTTAAAAATTTTTCACACCATTTTATAAACTTTTTGAGTTTGGTGTATCTGATCGTTCCAGAAGGTTTCAAGACTGATCCTTGTTTAGTTATTAGATCATGTACCGAAATAGATGCGAATATACCTATAACAATGCAGACTATCACTGACAGTATGAAGTAAGTGAAATTTTAGTCCCCACAGAGCAATGCCAAAGCCCATCAACATATGATAATGTTAAACAAAACAATTTACAAGGTCAAATGTCAAGGAAACAAACAAACAAACAAAAAACACAAATAATCTTTCATCCCTAAACCAGGGGCGAAGTCCAGTCGACCCTGATTCGCAACGGCGCCGTCGAATGGCTGGTGTCGACCCTGGGCAACACCAGCAACCTCTCGCCCTACACCATGGAGTACGCGGCGGCCCTGCTCATGAACTTGACCCTGAGGTCCGCCGGCAGGTCTCGCTGTGTCCCCTTGGCCCGGAGTCTCCTGCCGACGCTGACGCACCTCCTCGCCTCCGTGCCCGTGCATGTGAGTGGGGGCGGGGGTTGGAAGGGAGGGAAGGATGGGGGACACAGTGTTGTTTGCTTTTTCCTCTGTTAATTCAGCGCCTGTATTTGTTCGCATGTGCATACCTGTACACCAATGGAGACAATCGATTATACATAGATACGCAGTGTGTGTTTCTATCTATTCATCTCTCTCTCTCTCTCTCTCCCCCGCTCTCTCTCTCTCTCTCTCTCTCTCTCTCTCTCTCTCTCTCTCTCTCTCTCTCTCTCTCTCTCTCTCTCTCTCTCTCTCTCTCTCTCTCTCTCTCTCTCTTTCTCTCTCTCTCTCTCTTTATTTATATATATATATATATATATATATATATATATATATATATATATATATATATATATATGTGTGTGTGTGTGTGTGTGTGTGTGTGTGTGTGGGTGTGTGTGTGGGTGTGGGTGTGTGTGTGGGTGTGTGTGTGTGTGTGTGTGTGTGTGTGTGTGTGTGTGTGTGTGTGTGTGTGTGTGTGTGTGTGTGTGTGTGTGTATGTACATACACACACACACACACACACACACATATGTATATTACATATATGATGATAACTTTTTTTTTGTT